AAACTAATACAATGCTGACTGAGCTTTAACTATGTAATTTCTTTGGTGATTGGAAGGTATGAAAGAAGTCATGGGCAGTAATGAGTGCATGTTGTGCCCAGGTCAAAACTCATACTCGTGATTTCCATTAGAAGTATGCATTGGATTGTGGGAAAATCAATGTTATCGACATCGACCACCATCCTTTCACAATCCAGTATTAATTTGGTTTATTGAAACACTTAAAATTCCTCAGATGGAATTAAAATGGTTACACTAACTGCAAAACCACATATATAAAACATACAATTTTTACAAGAATCAAGAATTACTGTCTAAAACACAACAATGGTTAAAAAACAAAACAAACAAACTACAATTGGTTGGATTTCCAAGACTGTATGACTAAAAAAACTTGGAATTCTGACTGTATATGGTAAAAAAATTGTGCCAGTATGAAATATTTATTACTGAAATTAGATAAGGTTGGTGGCACGAATGAGCTCATCAATACCATGAATCAGGACTAGTTTGGATTTCCATTATCAAATATAAAATTTTGAACTTAGTAAATTAGCATATGAGAGTTATATTTGGAAATCCTACTCTGTATGGTGGCACAAAGGAACTCATCAACACCATAAGTTGGAACTATAGTTTTGGATTTCCATCACTGTATGGTGAATGTTGATTTGGAAATAAATAAAACCCTGTATGAAGTAAACACACAAGCTCATCAACATGGGGGGATGGGGCTTGGGGCAGATATAAACTGGAATGGCCCATTACAAAAAAAACTATTGATATTGAATAAAAGCAATTTCTGATATATATGCACTTGTTTGTGTTTTTAATAGACAGGGGCTCTGACCACTATCCATTCATCAATTCCAAAAGGCAGAGTTTATTTAAAAATAGCTAAACAAAAAAATTTTTTAGCTGAATGCGTTACTATATTACTTGTTTAAGCATGAAATTTATGCAAAGAATGACTTGATGACCTAGTTATAAATGAGTTTTTCAACCTAGAGGGAGTCCTTGTATAGAGCTACTATATTGTTCATTTTGAGTATGTGCCTGATTTTCAAAAATTTAGATGTTGTTAGCTTTACTTCTGATATGCATTTGACCTACACATATACTTTGTTTTCTACTAATGTCAGTCAGTCAAACTCATCACCATATAATTAACATACAATGCCTGCAGTCTGTCAAGTGTTGACACATGTACTCTCCTATGACCTGATAAAATCTTGTTTGCTGCATATTAATGCATTTTGGTCATGTTTTGAGAATCCTTCATGTGGTGTCTGATAGGTGCACCACCATTAGAGGACTATCAATAATATGTCATTGTCTGCAGGCCAGCTGAGTGGAGCCTTTTGTGAGATTTCTATCAGTGACCTTGTTGTCAATAAGGCCACACTGTATTTATTGTTTGTTACAATGGCACAGTATATCACATTAAGTAGACAACATATTTTATTGCAGTATATTGTTAACTTTAACCTTGTTTGATACTGTTAGTTGTATTCTAAGGCTAGCGAAACAATAAATTTATTGTAATAGTGTCCGCGTACCAGGGACAACTTTACAATCAATAATTGCTCTTTAATTGAACAATACAATTAATGTATACTTCCGAAAACTTGAAGAAACAAAAACAGATGGATATTAATTTGTGATTACTAGTTGTGACTTATTATATTGTTGTATTAAACCAATGTATTCATTTCTTTTCAAACCTTTCCTTTCGGTGTATATAGCGGGAACATTCAGATTTATTATATTCTAACTAGTTATTACTGATTACTGTTTGGTCACCAGTCAAGCCATGTTTTGTCGTCTTTGGAAATGGACAGTCTTTGGAAATGGACAGCCAAGGATGTCATAATCTCAAATTTCATGCAAAGTGCCACTCATGAATGAATGCATATAGGGATGGATCAATAAGAATATAGAGAAGGATGGATGGATAGATAGATAGATGAAACCTGGTAGGCTTATCCCCCCCCCCCCCCGGGTTTCTCAATTAGTACAGAAAAGCTAACATTAACAATCACAAATACCTATGACAAGACAATTTACACCATGACAAAAAATACAAAAAATCAGTTCTAAACTAATACTCTTAAGTAAACATGCAACTACTTAATGCTTGTGAATGACTGTGGTCATCTAAATTTGTCATTTTATGAATAATTTTTGAAGAGTTTATTTAGTTATTAGCTTATTTTGAGCAGGCAGGTATTTTTTGTTAGATCACATTTATACCATACTTTATATACAGATTTCTTCTTCCTCCTCCCAAACTAAACAATTAAAATATTAACTGAATCTATTTCATTCTTATCAGAATAATAATCACTTATGGTATTACTATATATAGCTTTAATTTTTATTTTTGCAAGAACAAAGTCTTGTGAGTCAGTGGAAATTACTAAATTTTTATTTGAAAATGTTTCTAGGGCTCCTATGGTGCCTGTGGCAACAATGAGAGTCTGTGACTTTTGCAAAATGCGTTCTTCTTAAATGCCATGAGATTATGAAAATTTCTAAATTAAACTTTTCAGTTACGTATGCTGGTATAGTCACCTTGGATGTAAATCAGACAATTATGCTGGGAGTCATTTTATGTGTGCCACTAATATGAGAAACATAATAAAGAACCAGTATGGCCTTGTTGTAAACATAATTTAAATAGCCAGTTCATTCAGAGTGACCTCATCGTGTACACGCAGTAGAAATTCATCAGCAATACAGTGAACAGCTTGCTCAGTCACACGAGTGTGTGCAAAATAAAAAAAACAAAAACCAACATGCCTCACAGAAATCTTCTGCAGAGCCAAGCCTGTGAAATTTCAAACTCCAGTGTTCAGCATAATTTAGCCGGTAATGATTTTTACATGGAAGAAGAAAGTTACGGAGAGTCTGAAATGGATTCATTTGATCATTTATCAAGTAAGCAAGGGATAAGTACACCATTTTGATTTTGTTGATTTTACTGGTCTGACATTTAGTTCTGTATTTCTATTCACTTTGTCCGCTGTCATATTTTCATCCTGTTGTTCATTAATACTCACTCTTCAAGGTGGGGTTCAAAGTTGTTTGTAGTGACATGTCAGATATAAAAAAAAAGTATCAGCTTTACAATCCGGTTGAAACAGGACCCTGCAATTTATGATATGTGACTCCCGAAATTTTATGTAAACATTGACGTTGAATAAGGATCAGTTTCCATTAAAATGATGCTTATATATAAGTTTATATGGACTGAATGTAAACATTTTAAAGAAATCTACAGGGTTAAGTTGTCTGCTTTCAGTGTACTTTGTTTTGCACTGCTTTAAAAAATTGTGTTGTGGAATCGGAATACTGAAATACAGGTCATTGTTTCACATAATTTTTAAGTGTGTCATTGACTTGATGAAAATAATCAATAATGTTGAGCAATATAGCAGTACACTTGTATCTCATTTTGTTACTTTGAACTTAAAGGGTAGTGATGTTGCACCAGGCATGTGGACTATTTGTGATGATAAATATTGATTTTCTCACACCCCAATGTGCTTTTCTAATGAAGTATGAGTTTTGACCTGTGCACGACTTGCACTAATTACTGCCAGTGACTCATTCGATACCTTCCAATCACCAAGGAAATTATCTAGTTAAATCTTGTTAATGTCTCGGTTTGTACCTGTTGGTCTACTCAACAGTCAAAGTCGCCATCTTTGTTTATACGAGGCCCTCATCTAGTGCATACCTGGTGTGTCAATCACCACCATATAAGAGAAGTGAAATGCAAGAAAGGAGATAATTTTATAGTGCCTTGGGGAGTAGGGCTGCCATGTTTTAATTGTTTTGTTTTTTACGCAATCATATATCACCTCCTCTCTGCACTTGTTGATTTGGAGTTCCTGCATCACTAAGTGAATGACAAGAAATAGTTTGGCTGTTTAGTACACTGCACCCCTTAATACAACTTTGGCTGTTCCATATACTGTACCCCACCCCTAACATCACTGGTGCTAATCAAGTTTGTTGGATACAGTCATATGCAATCTTTATTATATAGCACAAAAATTCACTAATGCATTTAGAAAAAAAAAAATTAATTTATTTTATTTTTATGCTTCAAGTTCAGCCAAATTGTTGGTAAATTCGTTCACTGGTTAGGTTTAAAATCCTCCAAATTAATGCATATACTTCAATATAGCAATGATTAATGAGTAGTAGTTTTGTCGATACTCTAGGCCCATATCAATAATTTAAAATAAACAAATTTTCAGAGCATCAGTAGATTTTTTAAAATTGCTCTGAACCTTTTTTTTGTGACTCACTGTTTTAAAGATTTCAATGAAATATTCGCTGTGATAACATATTTCAATTTTTTCTGACTTGCAAAGCATTTGTCTTTCGTGATTATAAAGCGA